GTCCAAGGCCAGCCTGGGCTACATAGTGAGTTCAAACCCAGCCCCAAAAAAACAAAAAATAACAATATCAAAGTGCCCGGTATGGTGGGGTACAACTGCAATCCCAGCAACCTGGAAGGCTGGAAGGCTGAGGCAAGAGCATTGCAAGTATAAGCCTAGCCTAGAAAACTTAGTGACTTAGCAAGACCCTATCTCAAAATCAAAATATATAAAAAGGGCTGGCTATGTAGCTCACTGTGACGACCCTGCATTCAATCCCCACTACCACACACACACAGAGCCAGTGAGGTGGGGCACACCACAATCCTGGCTACTTAGGAGGCTAAGTTAGGAGAATTGTAAGTTCAAGGCCACCATGGGCAATTCAGCAAGAACCTGTGTCAAATATAAAAGGCTAGGGACACAGCCCAGGGGCAGAGCACTTCCTGGCATGGGCAAGGCCCTGGGTTCCACCCCCGGCTCTGCAAGAAGAAATGAAAAGGGAGAAGGAGCAGCAGCCTCCACCAGAAGCCCCAAAATGCTGGGCTCACAGCGCTCGCAGTGTCCCTGTGAAGGTGCCGCCCTGCAGAGCAGGAGTCAGGACCCTGAGATGGGCAGACGGTACAGGGCACGCACGCAGGCCCCAGCGGAAGGGGAAAAGCGGGAGCACCGGGACGTACAGCGAGACAGCAGGAAGGTGAGCGGCGGGGTCCCAGGGCTGCAGAAGGTGCCTTCTACCCCTCACCCACTCCCAAGGCCCCAGGCCCACGGGAATGGGCGCACCCGCTGAGCTGCTCGGGCGACGCAGCCCTGCAGAGCTACCATACCACTGGGTCCATACAACCTGGCGCCCGCCTGAGGGGTGCAGGCCCACCCACAGGCCTGGCAGGGCCAGTGCAATCCACTCTGCCTGGATGGCATGCTCACGCCCACCACCTCGCAGGAAGGGGCAGTGCTGCCGGAGAGCACGGAGTGGGCGGAGGCACAGCCTCCACAGCTCTGACTCCATGGAGACTCTGCGCCAGAGAGCGCCGCATGGAGAATGGGGCAGCGACTCGCAGGGCAGCCTCGGCCGGGGCGTCAGGCACAGGGATGCTACCTGGCAAGTGGCCTCACGAGGACCTCTGGGCTCCCCGGGCATTACTGCCCCTGGGGCCCCACCACACAGTTCCCACCCAGGCCTGGGGTCCTCCAGTCCTGTGCTTGCTCCACCAGCACTTTCTTCAGGGTCCAAAGAGAGGTGACACGCGCTCCCCTCACAGCAACAAAATGCAGACGGTACAGGGCACAGGGTGCTAAGCCCCTGGGGCCAGAAGGACAGTGGGCTTGTGCATCCTTCAGCCAAGGCCAGGCCATGGACCTGTGCGTAAGGCTGGGCCTACCCCACCTCCAGCCGGGTGTCCAGGATGGCTCCACCGCACCCCAGGGGAAGCTCTGGGAAGCTGGCCTGAGCCAGGGAGCATGGAGAGGGGCCCCGTCCACAGGGCCAGCAGGGAGGAGGCCACAGGGTGGGTGGCACTGCAGCCTTCCGAGACCCGGCTGCCAAATGGAGCCATCTGTGGTCCCAGAGTGCTCTCAAAAATCCTGACATGTCAAATTCTAGCCTCGCCGAAGTTTAGTACACGCACTGCACAAAAGCCACAGCTCCACTCTGGCCACAGAGCTTTCTTCTTGCAGAGACTATCAGGGACACGGATGGAGCATGTGGTCAGGGCCCGGGACTGGCCCTCACCACTTCTGACCACCTCAGCAAAGCTGCACCAGTCTCCCTGGGGAACCATGGCGCTCACCCTGCAGACAAGGCAGTGGCGGGAGTTGAAGAGGCCAAGCTGCCCACTCAGGGCTGCACATTCCAACCAGCTCTCTCATGAATGAACTGCTGGAGTTCAAAAGGAAACTACGATGGACAGAGTTTCATCACAGCTGCTAGGTTAGAATGCACTTGGATTTCTCCCTGGAAAGCTGCTCTGAATAGCTCCCAGGGTCCCAGGGGCTGAGGAGGACACACTGAGCGGGGGTGGGGGGGGTTGAGCTCGCCAAGTACCCCAAATGCTCTGCAATGCCTGCCTGACAGGTCCCTGTAGAGAAGGGCCTTTCCCCCAGGAATGGGGACACACACCTACAATCCCTCCTCCTCTCCAGAGGCTGAGGCAGGAGGACTACATAGCAAGATCCTGTCTCAAGGAGAAGAAAAAACAAAAAGGGCCTTTTCTCTTATAGATGGAATGAGAGTAAAAAAATACTCTAAAATATGATAAATCTTTAATGAAAACAAACTGACCTCCACCAACAATCATCATTTATACTTCAAATCCCAGCCTGAGGGCCAGGGCGGGGGTGCAGGAAATGCCTGGCACCAGCGCACGGCAGGAGCCATCCCACGCTTGGCCCACACCTCATGTCCTTGTCTTAGTACTCAGAACCCTCTAGCAGAAGCGGCTCACAGTTGCCTTGGTAACGCAAGGATTTAAGACTCTGAGCAAAGTACACAGGCAAAATCACTTGTTGGATTCTGAAAACACCTTCTGCTTCCATTGGCAAGACCCAGCCCATGGGCTCCAGAGCAGACACAAAGGCCTGAGGCCATCACCATGTCCAGGGACGGCAGGAGACCCCTTAGGGTCTGTGCACCCAGAATGGCCCAGAATCCTATCACTGAGTGGAGGCTGTTGCTGCTTAGGTTTTGGTTAGAGCTGGTAAAGACTGAACAAAGTCTGGAGCAGGCAGGATGTGACAGTTCCTGTCCCCTATCCTGGGTACCTCTCCACAGGGACAGCTAGCTAGCAGGAAAACAATCAACTTTTCCGTCTGCCTAGAAACAACACCCTTGTGCTCCAGTTCAGCCCCATCCCAAAGGCTGGGGTCTGCCCGTCCACCACAGGAGCTATTGGTGATGGTCACAACAGTGGGCGGTGCCACTGGAGCTGCTGCCCAACATCCCAGTGTCCAGGACACCCACCCACACAGAATACAATGCTGTCGAGGCCCTGAATTAAAGCCACTTGCACTGAACGTGACTGAGCCTGAGCCTGGGCTCAGGGCAGGGGCACCGCAGCAAACGGAAAAGGCTGAAGCAGCCAGGAGCGCATGGAAACGATCAGGAGAGGCACTGTCTGCTGGATACAGTTTCAGGGGAAAGCAGCCAGGGCTGCCGAAGGGGTACAGTGTTTCTCTTTGGGAGACACACAAGTGCAAACCAACAGGGTTGATTCAGGGCTGGGAAGATAGCTCACTCAGCAGCAAGAGTGCCTGGCTGGCAAGTGCAAGGTCCAGAGTTTGATCCCTGGTATCAAAAGAAAGAGTGGTTTAGTGTTAGTGCCAGTGAGCTGCATGAATCACATACTTAAGAGATGCTCACAACAGAAATGGGCCTGGTGGCTCATAATTTTACTTGGGAGGCTGAGGCAAGAAGACTGAAAGTTCAAGGCCAGATCCTGTCTCAAAATAAGAAGGCTTGGGCTTTATCTCAATGGTAGAGTGCCCCTGGGCTCAAATTGCAAAACTGAAAAACAGAAATGGTTTACAACAGCTCAGTTTCTGTTCTGCAGACTTTGCCACATGTAGCAGGTCTGGCTAGGTTCTCTGGCGTGGGGCCCTCAGGGGACCCTTCTCACCTCCTCCCCAGCTCCTGAGATACCTCAGCCACACAGAGGAGATGCTGAAGGGCCCTGCGACCCCTGCTGCCTGTGGTGCCCAGGAAGCCTGCCAGGTCAGGTCAGGCCAGGCCAGTGCAGTGGCAACGTTTCTCAGCTTTGGTGCCTTTGGCTGCCTCTAACCACGCAAGGCTCCCAGGGTCACTTCTGATGTTACTTCTGGAGGAGCTCTCTTGGGAGGATGGGCTAAGGAGCCCCACTCCTGCCTAACCACTTCCCTCCTTGGTCAGAGTTACAGCTCTGGGCCGGGGGAAAGGGGAGACATCAAGAGCACAGAGGGCCAGGGATTTTTTTTTTTTTTTTTTTTTTGGCGGAACCGGTGATTGAATTCAGGCCCTTGCGCTTGCCCAGGAAGCGCTTATTCTACTAAGGCATCTCCCTGGCCCTGGCTCAGCAGCGTAAGCGCCTGCCTGGCAAGGGCACAGAGGCAGGGTCAGCCAAACAGCTCAGCGGATTAAAGCCCCTGCTTAGGTAGATGCAGGGGCCAGGAGTTCGATCCCCTGGCCTGCTGGGCCAGCCCCGCACCAACTGAGTCTGTCTACGCAGTGAGAACCTGTACACCCCGTCCTAAACACACAAGAGCACAGAGGCGCCCAGGCCCCTTTGGCCCTCTGAAAGGGCTGAGCACAGCCAAGATTACTGCTATGCACTCAGCACCAAGAGCAGCATCTCCTGCTCAGTCTGGCGATAGACACTGGCGGTGAGAGCCTCCTCCAGCAGGCTGGGCGTGAGGGCCAGCAAATGGCACAGTGAACCTTCCAAGGGATAGCAAGGGAGACCCTCTTTCTGTGGAGCAGGTCCCAGCTGAGCTGTGGGCACACACTCACAGCCAAACGTGCCGCAAGTGTACGTGTGGTAAGGCTGCTCACAATCGCAACACCCCAACTGACCTGCATGCTGACCACGATGGCACTCGGGGTGTTTGCAGCCACTGGCCTCTCTGGTGATCACTAATGCTGCAGTCAGCTCCACAGCTGACAGAGGACACCAAGCCCATACCCCACAAAGGGCCGCAGAGCCCCGCTCTCGCCCCACTGCCCCACTCCCAGCTCTGCCCATCCTCTCAGCACCAGAAGAGCCCCTCCCCAGGCAGCCCCGAGCCTGGGGCCTTGGAGCGAGCCGATGGGCTGCGAGGCTCTACCCCAACACATCGCTTCTCGGCCTTCTGGCTAAGACCAAGAGTAGTAAACCCCACCACCCAGTCTCAGAGATGCGTCACTGCTTCCCTGCACTTGCGCCAATTCCTGTGAGAGGGAGTGGCCAAGGAAAGCCACAGTGTGAGCCTGGAAAGGCTACACCCCCCAAGCCTTGGGGGGCCCCCACAGTGCCCTGGGGCTGACACCTGCTCTTCACCAATGAAGGGCTTACTTGAGTCTCGACTGCTGAACGGCCATCCCGGCGTGGGAAGGAACGAGGGCACCGGAGAGCCGGTGCGGCTGTCCTCCTCCACCTGCTGTGTGATGTGCCGGACAGTCTCCTTGTTCTTCCGGTTCTTCCTCCGGCCTGTGGGCTGCCAGCTGTCCCCAGAACCCTGTTCTGAGAAAGAGCTCTGTGCTGCACCATCCTTGGTAGAGGGCAGCTCACTCCCTCCGTAGTGAGAGGGCGAGATCTGCTCCTCCTTGATGTGCAGAGGCCCATAACCCACCTCTCCAGGCCACAGGGCCTGCGAGGAAATGTCCTCGGGGCCCTCAGCTCTGGGCTCTGGGTCCTCCTTCCCGTAACTGCTCCCACCCTCGTGGCAGCTGGCAATGGCCGAGTCCCCGGAGGAGTTGGCTGGGCTGGTCCGCCGAGCCAGCCATGGGGAGATGCTCCTCCCAGCCATCACGGCCGAGATCAGAGCCTCTGCACTGCTGCCGGAGGGCGCGCCCGTCTCAAACTCCGAGAGCTCATCTGAGGTGTCTGACTTGATGCTGATGTCCAGCGCGGCCTTGATGAAGTCGTGGCAGGCCTGCACGATGTCTGTCATCTGCAGGAAGCTCGCGGCAGACATCACCTCAATGACATTCCTGCTCGTGAGGGCCAGGTGGGCAGAGTACATGAAGTCGATGATGGCCTTGAAGCCCTGGGCTGTGACAATATCCAGGTGGGTGACCGTGGCCTGGTCGGACGTCTTCTGTACCTGGCAGTAAAGCGTCTTAAAGTAGCGGCTGCTCCCGAGCAGGACGTTCTTGTGCGCCTTGAAGACCTTGCCCTCCACCACAACACAGACATCGCACAGGACCCCGTGCTGCCTCTGCTCGTTGAGCTCGCGAAGCAGGTGCCGGTAGTGGGACGTGATTTCCATATCTTCCTTTCGGTTGTTCATCTGGAAGTCTTGGTGTTGCCTCTGCTACAGACTCTGTGGGGAAGAAAGAAAGAATTACACGTGCCACGTGGATGGGAGCCACGAAGGCAGCCAGCAGGGTGGCTGCGGAGCATGTGGGGTGGAGGAGCCACGTCCTCCAGCACGCAGGGTGATGCAGGGCAGGCCATGGGGATGGCTAGGCGCTGGCACAGCAGAGCCAGCCACATAAGCTGGAGCACAGAGGGTAAGGAAGCGTGGTGCCCGCAGCAGTACAGGGCCACAAACAGTGGGCAGACACCAGCCCTACCCCACTCAACCAAGTTTCCAGGTTGGTAACAGATGTGAAGCTCTGAGAAAAATCACACACAACAGCTAACAGGTTCCGGAAACAATAAAATCACTGATCAGTGGACTGAAGGAACTTCCTTACCCAAACTGAAAATCCAGGTGAAATGATCCAAGTGTGGCCTTCATCTCTCAAGCTTGAAGAAATATTCTTTTTAAAAAACTATTTATTTATTTGGCACAGGGTCTTGCTACCCAGCTCAGACTCGTAATGATGCACCTATCTCAGCCTCCCCAGCACTGGGATTATAGGCGTGTATCACACCTGGTTTCAGTAACCAGCTTGGCATGGGGCAGCATGGCATGTGGTACTGGTGATCGAACCCAGGTCCTTGTGCTTGCCAAGCAGGAGCTTAGACTGCCAAGTTATTTCCCCAGCCCAAAATGTTCTTCTTTTTTTTTTTTTTTTGCAGAACTGGGGGATTGAACTCAAGCCCTTGCTCTTGCCAGGGAAGCGCTTATTCTACTGAGCCATCTCTCTGGCCTAAAATATTCTTAAAAATATATATATAAAAACTCCCCAAACACACATACACACAATGGAGTAATAAGAATCAAAATTAGATATTCACAGCCTCTCTCCTCAAGAGTTCCAAACCATGGAGCTCTGGGCAGTGCCAGAACGCACGAGAAGTACAGAGTCCCCTGGTTACACCATCGCCACGGACAGTCCGACGCAGGAACCGGGCTCCCCTACAAGCACTGTGGACCTGCAGCGTAAAGGAGAAAATTCAACTCCACAGCTCAGAGGCCAAAGGCCAAGACCGAGGTGTCATTCCAGCCGTCCCCCCGGCCTCAGTGACAGCCAACAGCCTCTGGGCCACCGCAGCTTGCGGAAGCCTCACCCGGTCTCTGTCTCTGCCCTTGCTCAATGTCCTCCCTGGGGACCGATGTCCATGCACCCTCTTTCTTCCACAAGGACACCAGTCCCTCCAGCATCCCAGGTCCACCTGACGGCCTCATCTTCACTAACTACATCTGCAACAGCCTATGTCTCAACATGGCCACACACTGAGGTCCTGGGGGTTCAAACTTTATTTATTAAAATTTATTTATTTATTTGTGTGTGTGTGTGTGTGTGTGTGTGTCCAGCTCAGCCCACCAGGGGGCGGGGCTGGCTGCATGTGGTGCTGGAGGATTGAACCACGATCCCTGTGCTTTGCTAAGCTTGGTGCTTTAGACCACTGAGCCATCTCACCAGCCCAGGGTTCAAACTTTAACACTTGAATTCCTGAGGATACATCTAACCCTAAAGTCCACCTGAGAAGGGTACAGCCATTAGAGTGTGCTCTTTCTCCCTTAGACATTCCATCTTCCTGACTGACTTTGGTCATCTGCTAGCCCTCAGCTGAAATGTCACTGTGCTTAACAGGACAGGAAGCTGGCCGAACTGAGGCAGAGCCTGAGTCCTTCTGGGGCTACAGTCTGTCCCACACAGCCCTCTGGGCCAGACAGGGTACACATTTTACTCCCCCTCCTCTTGAGTCACTGAAAGTGCTACAGTATATGTCCCCTCCCTTGGTCACCCAAGACATGACCTATAGAATGCAATTACTGTCTGCTACTTTATAGGTGAGGAAAACGAGGGCGCAAAGAGGTTTTTCTTCCTCTCCTCAGAGACTAGGGTCCCTGACCACCATCCCCTTCCCTTGGTCTTCCTTGCAACTCCTAGGCATACCAGACCACCTTGCCTGGGCCTCCTGCTCACCGTCCTCCTGCAGAGCCACCACACACCAGGCCAGCACCTGGAGATACCTGCCAGACTATGCTCGCTGAGCCAGCATGTCCTGCAGCCAGCACTGTCGTCCTGCAGCCAGCACTGTCCAGACCCATGACTGTGAACCTTCTGGGGCCTTCAATGACACGCATGTCTGCTGCAGCACACAGTCTAGGTACTGGGGCTAAGAACGAATACCCACCCACCTGCACAGCCCTGCCGAGAAAACAGGAGGTAGACAGGCGGTTCCCGCTACGTGCTCATCTAACACTGAGCAATGGACCCGCCCACCACGGAGGGGGCTTGGGGAAGGCCCCAGCCGCTCCCCCCACCACAGCGGCTGTGGCCTGCATGGCCGGCTGCTGGCCAGTCAGGTCCTACAGCACCTGGACCAGGGCAGCCTGCAGCATGCATCCCAGGCACTTGCCTGGGGAAAAGCCCACCCAAGGCACATGCCCACTCACAGGACACACACACCAGCTCATGGGCCACTCGCTTAAGGGACACACACGCCAGCTCACAGGGGACACACCGGCTCAAAAGCCAGATACACACTCACAAGACACATACACCCACTCATGGGACACACACACTCACTCATGGGGCATGGCAGCTCACAGGACACACGCTCAAGGGACACATGCCAGCTCAAAGGGCTGACGCTCACGGGACACGTCTTCGGAGTGGTGTGGCTGAATGGGATCATGGCCTATGCCAAGGGCTCTGTGCAGTTCAGCCTGGGACACAGCTGTGCAAGCAGTGTGACACTAGGGCTGCAGGGACGAGGAGGCAGGGCAAGTATGGTACCCTGTAGCCAGACTGCACAAAAGCTGCACAAGCGTCCAGAAAAAGTTACACCTACTGCTTTTTTTGAGACAGGATCTTACTACGTAGTTCAGACTGGCCTTGAACTCACTTTGTAGCCACTCTAACGACCCTCCTGCCTCAGCCTCCTCAGTACTGCGAGGACAAGCATGTGTCACCATGCTGACAACCTGCTCCTGTTTCTACCATGTCATGTCCTGCCCTGTAGACTCTCCTGGGCCCACTCTGTTTATAGCTCACTCACCTCAAGAGACTTCAGTTACAAACTGAAAACCACTTTGGCTACCGAAACAACTTAAGTCCATGCTCCAGGACCACACTCCTGCTAAAGTCAAGTCACCCCATTAGTGTTGGAAAGCACAAGGACAGGTCCCAAGGCTCATGGCCCTGGTAATGAAGGGTGGCAGCTGGGGGCTGTCCTGCCTGGGCCAGCAGCTCTGACACCAAAACCCTTCATGGCCAGGCAGGTGCTGCACACAAGGCTCCTGGCCACTGCCGGACCCCACCGCACTAGCCAAGGTCCCACCAGGCTGCCAGCTCTGCTCAGCCCAGCAAGTCAAGCCTCGAGTCCTAGTACCCCACCTCTCACAGAGAGCCTCAAGCAAACCCCAGCAGATAGGACCTGCTCCCGTTAGGTGCTACGGAAAAGAGGGGAAGACCACGCCACTCAAACCAGCCGCACCAATCCCTGCCTTCCAGTTACAGGGTGATCTGACAGTGACCAAACAGTCTAAATCTTCCACCCACAACAAAAGGTAAAAGGAAACCAACCAGAAGGCTCTTTTTAAAAAGTATAGGCAAAAAAGCTATATGTGGTGGCAAAGGCCTAGAATCTAAGTACTCAGGAGGCTGAGGCAGGAGGATCGTCGTGAGTCTGAGACCAGCCTGGGCTATAAAGTGAGCTCAAGACCTGCCTGAAACACATAGAAAGACTGTTTCAAAAAGACAAAAAAAAAAACAAAAAAAAACACATAGGTAAAATAAAGGATAAATTTGAGGCACATGAAGATAAATGGATGCACTGAAATCTCAAGTGAAATAAATTAGACACAAAAGTTTAAAATTCACACAGTTGAGAAACCCAAAGCATAATTAAAAAACAAAATAAAGGATGGATAATAGGACACAGAACTTCTTCAAATGGGAAGGAGATCAAGACTTGGAGGGAAGCTGGGGAGATAGCTCAGTGGAATAAGTACCTGCCTGGCAAGCACAAGGTCCCCTGGCAATGCAAAAAAAAAAAGGCTTGGGTGTGATGGTGCACACCTGTGCTCCAAGCATGGGGAGGCTTACACAGGAGGATCACTTCGAGTTCAAGGCCAGCCTGGGCTTCACAATGGGTTCAAGGCCAGCCTGAACCACACACAGTAAGGCCATTTCAGAAAGAAAAGAAAAAAGAAAAGGAGTTGAAGGGAAAGGAAACAGCCCAAATAAATGTAATCATTACGTACTGCAAATACATAAGGGCCAGCAAGATAGCTCAGTGGACTAAGCACCTGGCTAAGCAAGCACAGGGGCCAGAGTTCAATTCCTGGCACCACCGGGGCATGCTGAGCTGGTGAGGGTGGCACACCCCTCTATCCCCGCACTGGGGAGGCTGAAAACAGGAGGATCACTAGGAGTCTGAGCTGTGTAGTGAGAGCCTACACAAAATAACCCCCTATCCAGAACAACTAACTTGAAAATAATATAATGTAATACAGCAACCACTGTTAAGTTCCTATTACTTTGTTTAGTGAAATTTTGTATTGTTTCTAATGCTGTTTTTCCTATCATCATTTTGTATTATCTAATAAAATAATAAAAAGACACACTTTTGGCTTAAAGATAAAAAAAACACAAAATAACTCCCTGCAAAAACAAATAAAGAAATATTTCTAATTTTTAAAATTATAGGCAGAAGCTGTATTACTTAAGATGTGCACCTATTCATTTCAGCTCTTTCACATACTGCTTAATGCTTCACAAGTAAACGCTGAATAAATCAGTGTATTTTTTCCCTGCCACAACCACCATATCTCTTCCTCCTTCTTTAGTGCTGGGGACCAAACCCAGAGCCTTTGCACTAAGCTATACCTCAGTCCTTTTTTTATTTTGAAGCAGCATCAAATCAAGTGAATAAGTTGCCCAAACTGGGTTCAAACTTTTGACCCTCTCGCCTCAGCCT